AACTGTAAGTCCCCCTAATATGAAATAGTAATATAAATGAATTTCTGGTTTCGGCATGGCCCCGATTTTATAGAAAGCAGTATCAAACCCTGTTTGAAGGATGAGGCTTATCTCACTAAAGCTCTGTGCTCGTGTCATGGCGATTTTTCATTCTTCAACACGGAGTAACTCGGCAAAACTTCACACGGCGTCACTCCCACATTGGCACTCTCTTGTCTCCGACAGGGTGTGTTCCGGCTCCTCTACGAGTAAAGCCTCTTATTCGTGCTGATCGAGTTACCAGAATCATGGCGCTAAGCTGACGATTGCATTTTGTCTGCTTGTGATGAGTAATATCTTCTCGTTGCTCATATTACCACTAATCGAGGAGAATATTGTAATCGACATTAGTAGTGGCCGTATGGGGTAGATAACGGCCGAGAGTCCTCTTCCGAATTGACCACACGACAACTTTCCATTTTGTGTCCCAACTTACACTACTGGCATTAGAGCCTCTTATCCTTTATACCATTTGAGGTGCATTGAGTGGCCCATTTTATTTACCCGCTTTTAGCTTTATTCCTCTCATTTTCAGTCATCCAAACTTCAATGTGCATGTGGAAAAGTACATCTTCCCAATGGAGCCTGTGCTGCCATTGCATGGCGACATTCTGATCACCTGCTACCTTCGGCCAAATCCATCGTCCTCTCTTCAACACGTCATATTCCGGTGAGTCTCTGGGCCGCTTTGCTGATCGGCCTTCGAGCTTTCAACTGAAGGCTCGAAGATGCGTCGGCATCGGAAAACCTGATTTTTTACGGTATTATCGAGACCGATTCCGATACCACTCTAAAAAGCTCTGAAGAGAGGGCCTGCTTCTTCTCTTCAATTCATTGTTTCCATCCCGTCGGGACTGCATTCATGAACTCGCCTCATCGACTCATTAGCCTCTCCAGAGGGATTCGGACTCTGGACACAAGGGATTGGGAGGCAAACGCATTGTCGCCAAGCCACAAAGTATTGAGCTGAGAGCAGCTTGCTCCATTATTAAAATCATGCCTATCGTGCTTTCTCTTAATTCGCATCGTTCTAGACAAAAATTACTCCTTAACATGAAACAAGATGGGAATCTCGAGGCAAAACTCGCGCTCCTTAGTAAGCTTCTTTACTTTCCAGACAAACCAGAAAGCCTTAATAGTCGCTCTGTGCACTGTTTATTTAGACAAAGTAGTCCTGATACTTTTAGAAAATAGCTCATTTTTACTGCTACTGCAAGACAAATTTGAGCAACCCAGTCTTACCTTCCATGATTTCGCTACTTCGTATTCTAGAAGATCTCAAAGACAAGCTTCAATCGCTCTGAAAGTTGTCGCTTTGGCCAAATAAATTCACGACTCTTCGGACAAAAATTAACTGGGCAAACAGAAAACTTTAACTAGGCAAAAAATTAAATATAAACTTTCCTAGAGCACGCTCGTAAGCTCTTGCGCTTGCAACTCAAGACTTTGGAAATCGGCCAAATCCACTTTACCAGCTTCGCTTTTAGGCCTAAAGTTGATCTTGGTTCACTATACTTCCACTTTCTTATCCTCTCTAACCTCATAATTATATTAATTTAGCCCGTTTTGGGCTAAGTTTACCTGCTCAAAGTTGCCTAACTATTTCTTTGTCTATCAGAATTCATATTTGCACAAACATTGATAACTTCCTTATCATTATCAAATCGATTTTCTGTGCATTTATAACTAGTATAACTACAATTACTATAAAATCATGTTAGCATAATTAGCATGTATGGAAGTAAGTAGGAGTTTTTCTTTCAAAGCTGATTTTTGTCGAGCTACACCTTATTCAATGAATGGAATACATTGTATAGAGGTTGTTTGACCTTGTTTTCGCTACTTGATCATATTGGTAGGAAGACTTAGAGGAACGCACCTAGTCCTGAGTCCATTGTATGCCAGCGAAACATCTGGGAATATACCACGTCCACAGCTGGTGCTAAGAATGGAGATACTCACTGACGATGCCGGCGAAACGTCTGGGAATGTACCACGTCCACGGTCTTACTTTGGAAATGATCATGCAGACAATGGACCCCGGACTAGGTGCGTTCCAATAAGTCTTCCTACCAATGTGACCATTCAGGACAAGGTGCGTTTCTATAAGTCTTCCTACCAAAATGACCAAGGAAATGATCATGCAGACAATGGACCCCGGACTAGGTGCGTTCCAATAAGTCTTCCTACCAATATGACCGAGTTGCGAAAAGAAATAATTATGCATACAATGGACTCAGGACAAGGTGCGTTTCTATCAGTCTTCCTACCATTATGACCAAACGATGATGCATACAATGGACTCCGGACTAGGTGCGTTTCTTTAAGTCTTCCTACCAATATGACCGAGTTTCTAATTATGCAGACAATGGACTCAGGACAAGGTGCGTTTCTATCAGTCTTCCTACCAATATGACTGAGTTGCGAAAACAAGGTCAAACAACTTCTTGATGCATACAATGGACTCCGGACTAGGTGCGTTCCTCTAAGTCTTCCTACCAATATGACCAAGTTGCGACGTGGCGATACTGGCGATGCCGGCGAAACGTCTGGGAATGTACCACGTCCACGGTCCTACTCTGGAAACGATGCTGCAGACAATGGACCCCGGACTAGGTGCGTTCCAATAAGTCTTTCTACCAATATGACCAGTTTCGAAAACACTTCCTACCAATATGACCATGTTGCGAAAACAAGGTCAAACAAGCTCTATACAACGAAAGGAGACTGCGATCACTTCCTACCAATATGACCATGTTGCGAAAACAAGGTCAAACAACCTCTATACAACGAAAGGAGACTGCGACGTACCAATATGACCAAGTTGCGAAAACAAGGTCAAACAACCTCTATACAACGAAAGGAGACTGCGACCACAAAACAGGCTGCACCATCTTGGTCTTCATAACTTCAATGGAATACATTGCTTGCTCTTGACATGATCGTTCACTCTGTCATGTCTTCCAAGGAGCTTAAATTCACATTAACAAGCTTCAGGCACTTAATAGCTGCAAAACAGCCCTACTAGTATCAAGAACAGTGTGATTTTTACGATCTCAAGGTATCTAACATTAGCCTATTGAGCCAGCCTTTCGGGAATATGTCATGATGAAATTCTCCATTTTGAGATTGAGCTCAAATGGGATCTGTTATCTTAGGATTCCGTTGCCACTTTGATCATACTATGTTCTT